TGTATTATATAATTCATTTCAATTGTTGTAATATCCTGGGAAGGAATGATCAACCCTTTAAAAATCAAGCCCCTAATTGCTATATGGTTATGGAGATTTTGTTAGAGAACAATTTACATTGATTTAATAGTTATCAAAGATTAAACATGATATTCAAATGATCTTTACTCAAATGAAATGGGCCAAATGTATCATTCTAGTTGCTTATCTATCTTCAAGTAACAGAAAAAACCCTTCCTTAGTTCCAAGAAAATGCCCAATAATTTTGGGATTGTGGGTTCGAATATGAGGGCAGTCACTTTTGCAAATAGTGTCCAAAGTTAGGTCTACATTCAATCCATGCCTCCAAGGTGTTATTTGTCGTAACGGGCACAAACAAGTTCTTTGTATTTTTTTTTGTAATGTTGTAAATGTGATTCTTTTGATACAAGCAATTAAGTTTTATATGATGCAGGGAAGGAAAGACAATCGAGTGGAATCTTTTTATGTGTTGATGTTCGAGATGTTGCATATGGACATATTCAAGCATTTGAGATTCCTTCCGCTAATGGCAGATACTGTTTGGTTGAGACAGTAACATACTATTCCGAAATGCAAAAGATATTACACAAGCTTTATCCTACTCTCAACCTTCCAGAAAAGTAAGTATTTAGTATTTGAAACGTCCTTAATGCTATGACTAAGCAACTAATTTAAATAATTGAATTTGGACACATTCAACAAAATGTGCATCATGTTAAATTTCCCATGTTTAATTGTGTTCTAATCTCTTTCTTTCTCCTAATAAAATTTAGCTCTAAATAATATCATACTAAATAGTCGGTCACGGGTGTAAGCTAATGCATGTTCTCCATCATTGTCACGAAAATTGCTCTTTCAGGGAATGGAAAGACAAGATTGGATTGTGTTAACCTTGTACAAAATGTGAGGTGGATCAAAGAGTTCCACAATGGATGGAAGTAGTTTGATGATCTATAGAATGACATTTGATCAAGAGAATTAAGTTTGATATATAGCGATTCTATCAAGAATTTCCATTAATTTTGTGTTTAGGTTAGAATCAAGCTAGAAAGTTGTCTTTTCAAGCTATTTTCTCGAGTAGGAAATCAATGGAAAGATTGGCTACTTCAGGACAGTGTATTAGGCCAAGTTAGAATTAGAATCCAAACACCGTCAAATTTGTTTCTTTTTTCGATTTCTCTGTATTATGTTGAAGAAGAGGTAGAGAGTAATTTCATGCTTAGAATTCCAAAGATCCATTTACTTCTAGGGCTACTGGAAATGGAATTTTTTGAACTATTTCATTTTTGTAGTTACAATTTAAGCTTCTAAGTTTGTTGTGGTAATTGAATGATCTATCATCCCGAGGTCATTTGAGGTATAAAATTTCTCACAACCAAAGGAATCTTAATAGAACTTTGTGTTTTATTCATGGCAGATATACAGATGAAAAGCTTGTTGTCCCACCATACCAGGTATCCAAGGAAAGGGCAAAAAGTTTGGGCATTGATTTCGTTCCTCTTGAGGTGAGCCTTAAGGACACCGTAGAAAGCTTGAAAGAGAAGAAATTTCTGAGTTTCTAAATTGTAATATTCACAAGCAATGTAAATACATATGAGTGTTGTACTTTCATGTTTTTATCTTGTAAAGTTGATTAGAATCATTGCAATACTATGCCACAAGTTGGAATATGTTTCGCTTGTTCCTGTGCAAAATACTTTATTGTGGAACAGAAAAAGACTGATGACACTTTATCCTCTAAACAATTTTGAAATCCCTCATCCCTGATTTGCACTCTATAGAATTTCAAAATAAAAAAATATACCCACATCACAAACACGAGTTTCATTGAAACCTTGATACCAATTTCACAAACCACCTGTTGCACATATAACAACGATACACAAACTTAAAAGTTTATATAGAGAAAACTATTGCAACTTGCCTTTGTATCAAAACTATGGGGACTATGATTTTACATTAGTCAAGTTCATATTGAAATGACAACATAATTCTGGAAATTGAATATCAAGTGCCCATAAATAGGAAACCATGTATTTATAAATTGTGAAAAAAAGGTAATTTTTTTCACATAGCTCACCTGAAACACATTTTGAATACTAGCACTTTTGGACCTAGAATAGGCGGCCTATTTTACCACACCTAATTCTTCGAGTACAGTACATGTAGTACGGACAAGAGCAGAATAAAAGAGCCATGATGAAGCTTGCATTGCGAAATTAGCAAGAATTACAACTAAATTAAGAATGCTATTCTGCCTACTAAGCACTAGTTAGTCATAGTTGAAGAAAAATGAAACCAACGGGATGTTTATAAGAGCACATATCCTGCTGAAGGCCTTGCCAATGAAATTGGTGCTTCAGATAAATACAACCACTCACATCACTCTTACCCACACAACTCTCATCAGGAATCAAATCTTTATCATCATTATAGCTTTCATAAATGTAAATCTCCATGGCAGGTACAATTTTAGCAAAATAATAGGTTGTAACCTTAGTTTTAACATAGCACAAGCAGCAAAATTAAGAGTTGCCTAAGCTTTATTTTCAGTTGCTCTATTGAACTCTATGAACATCAAGAATAAAATGTAACTAAAAACCAAAAAAAAAAAAATTACAAAAAAGAACCATGGCCTGAGTTATGTATACCAAGTAGATTAAGTTTCTGAATCTGCTTTGTCAGCCCTCTTCCTGGATTTAACCAATCTTTCTATATCTTTACTTTGAAAATTCATACATTGAAATGAAAAATTAAGCATCATCTGCAACAAAAAAATGATTACCTATGCATTTTCTTCATTATTAGGAACATAAAAGCATATCAGAGAAATTTCTTGCATATACCAACTACCAAAGAGTTGTGACCAACCAAACCCAATCCCCAATCAGATAAGCTGCATATGGGCACAATCCAGTCTGCTGCAATGCCCTGCCTGGATACCTCCAGTTCCAATGGTAACTCCTCTTTCTTCCCTCCATGCAGATTGCCAATCAAATGCCAAATAAAAAATACAACATAAACACAAACACAGCCACTACAGAAAACAGAAAACAGAAACCAACCCTATGTGCACTAAATCCTCTTTACAAACAGATATGTTCCTTCGACAACCAATATTAAACAACTATTTATTCCTAACAAAAACTTTGAAAATTAATCAAACTGATAAGTAACGGAAAATGAAACAAAACATTCCCACCTGCAAGTTTGCTTAAAAGTATCACCTTAGTAAAATTAACTTTCAAATTTGGTTTAAAAAACTCCTATTTCTCCATAAACCTGTGACCTTCCCATCCTTAAACACAACTTTCTTGCCAGTAATTTTTAAAACTACTCTGAAATAAATGATGATCAAACCACAACCGTCCAAACCTGCAAGTGTAAAAGTTGTGTTTAAGGATGGGAAGGTCGATGCATAGTCCAAACATCATTCAATGCATCTGGATGCGAGATTTTGTTAGAAAAGATCTTTACAAGCCAAAATAAATTTCTCAATGTAGTTGATCTCCGTATTTTCAGAGAACATACCACAAAATCTACAAAAAGAAAAATTCATAATAAGCTGAAAAAGTTCAAACTATTTTCTATTCTGATAAAGATTGGGTCCCATCCACAAGCCGAACAAGAGAAAGAAAATCATGGCATGAAACCAGAATTGAGAAAATGATGACATTTATCCTTCTGAGATATCTTGGGTTCTAATCTTCAGTGCAAGCATTGTCATCTCTACTTGACACCATTCAACCTAAAAGTAGATCCAAGTGCAAAATGGTTGTGTTATGACCAATTGTGGTACAATTCTTAGCTTAGTCACAATGAATGTCATGATGAGAGCGGATTAGGACATGGAATGAAAACTAACTGTATATTATCAAAGCAGTTCATGGTCTCTCACTTTAGCAGCGGGTGGTTTAGGGATTTGTTTTTGAACAGTTGATTTCACTTAATGAGAGATTGTTCTAAAACTTAATCACTTTATGTGGTTTTTCCAACAATTACAAAGTTGGTATTTAGTTGTATTTGCGACTCCAGAATTAATATAAATAGAGTTATGAAAAATGAGGCCACAAATGAATAAGAGTAGGATATGACTGTATGATGGTTACATCTTTGCAACAGTCATAATATAGTTTTCGTGGTAGTTATGGAGGTACTGGTGCTCGATGGGTTCGGAGTCTCTCAAGTTTTTGGGTATCCTATTATTCTTGATAAGGCTATATTAGAAATCTATGTGATGTGCAATTTGAATTCTCATGTCTTTTATACTCTTTCTTTCTTGGGCCAGTTCTTACCCCCGCGTGTATTTTATTTCATTGATACACTTCCTTGTTATTGATCGAAAGAAAAGAGGACATCAAAATCAATGAAGCACCTAGCACAATTTAAAATATAACAAAACAGAACAGCACAAAGAGACCCAACTTCAGCATGAGTGAGTACTCATTATATAGCACTGAGGCGAGTTCATTCTCTCACTGAAAAGTTAGCTGGGGTCGGTCCCTGTTTAGCCATCATCATTTGCACTGTACATAAAAAGGTCTTGTAAATGAGGAAGATGAAAGGTGTTTAATGATCAGCATTAGTCTCGGTTTGTTTTCCTACCTTCCACGAGTAATCGCAGCAGCCAGATTACAAGAAGCTGAGGTATCATTCCTATGTGGTGCTTTTACCTACTTATGTTGCTTGCTAGCACATATCCGAGCACGTTACTTTTGCAATACCTCGTGTTTGTTTCCTATCAACCTGCCAAGCAATGGCATCTTATCAGCAGTGCTATTTGTAACATGTTCGTGCAACTGCTATCTTGGGGATTTGATGGAGCAGCACTAATTGCGATACATTATGAAAATGAATCTGATTTAGTCGAAAGTATTCTTCTTTATGTGAAACTACAGCTGTGCAGTAGAAATCTTTGTTGAAGTGAAGGCAGTGATGAATTGATGGTATGTATGTATTGCATTTGTTTTTCTTTTGATATGGAGGAATCGGTCTCGACAGAGGAGGTAGTTGGGTCTTGTTCAAAATCGAGGTTATCTGGACGGGCGGATTGGGACGGAAGATCGAGGTCTTTCATCTTCTTGCGAGGCCTCCATTCGTTGGCTATTGGGGGAATAATCAGCTTTTTGAATTCTGAAATTTTTAGGTTTTCTAAGGAATTGAATTCTGCGATGTATTGTTTCGTGGTGGATGAGAGATCCTCTTGGTCTTTGGCGTCAGTTTGCGAACGTTTGAGGGGTAGAGGTTTTGAAGACAGAGAAAAGGAGAGCTTCATGGTGTTGACGATGGAGAATCAAACGAACGAGAGAGCGATGATTGGGTTGGGGAAGATGTATGCTGGGTTGAGTTTTGTGTTAGAGTAAATTACAGTTTATCCCTTTAAACAATTACCTTTGTTTTAGTTTATACTCTTAACTATAAAATTTTCATATTACATTTTAAAGTACCAATTTTTTTTTGGCAATGGAGAAACAAACGATAGAGAGGGAGATGATTGAGGAAGATGTATGCCGGGTTGAGTTTTGTGTTAAAGGATATGACAGTGGGAATATTAAAACCCTTCCAATTGGGTTTGGGTTGAGGGTCATTTTGGTTCTAAAATTTATAACTCGTATCATTTTAATTTTTTAAGTTTATAATTTATCACTTTAGTCGTTAAATATTTTAAAAATATGTCTTTATTGTGATTCACGTGACGATTTAACAGCCGTTTTGATTAGACCAAAATGACACAAATTAAAAAGTTAAGAGACTAAATTGACATTATTAGAGACCAAACTGATATAAAACTCATAGTTTGGGAACTAAAACTATATTTTATCCAACTAAATACTTCAAAATCAAACTAGTTCATGCTTAAATTCAAACTTCATTCCTAAATTCAGAATCCTTTCAAAATTAAAGTTCATTACTAAAATAATAATGAAATAGATATTGAGAATTAATACTTAATAGATTACTATGATACCAAATACTATATTATATATTACCATTACATTTTGAAATCATGAATTCTTTTATGAAGGAATGAGATACACATTTTTGTGATATTCAAATCCTTTCAGACAAATTATACTTTAATCCCCTCAATCATGACTTTTTTTATATTACCCCATCAATTCTTATATATTTTATATTGCACCCTTCACTATTTAATTAATTTTACACTATCCCAATTATTAACATTGGTAATAAATTTAACAAAAAAATATTTTATTTTTTTTTTTGTTTTGATATTGAAAAGTTATATTTTTATGATTTCAATTCAATCCTTGAATTTTGTTCACAATTAAGTATTCATTCGATTCCTTTATGGGACAACAATTCAGGATGTCACCTTGAGATTCCCACTTACTATAAAATATTTGATTTAAATTAAGGCATTAATATCAATTGTGATTGTAGTAATAATAAATTTCTAGTTTAAATTTATTATCGTAAACAATAAAAGGAATCATAAACATTACAATTATCTTATTAAATTAGATGACTTAAATCACATAAGACAAACGTAAACTCCACACGAATCCAATGGGGTCTAACCAATTGAGAATTGGTGAAAAAGCAATTAACATGAAATAATTTGGAAAAGTTAGAAATGACGGGTGATGGAGACAACAAAATTGTCGAAGCAAAAATAAAAACTTGTAGAAATTACTTTCTGACGCCTCCAAGACCCCTCTAAAATAAATAAATAAAATGCTCATCTTTTTATTATTTTCTTGTTCTTAATACTAGTAAATATGTTACATCTACTTATTTTATCGACATACAAATTTAAATAATTATAATCATAAATTTCTTTTAACAAAAGAGAAAATTGAAAAGGGTACACTAAATTAGAATTAATTGTAAAAAAGTACATAGAAAAAAAATGTAAGATTAAAAAGTTCTTAATTTTGATACTTATTTGCTTTCAAGTACATTATTTGAAATTTTTATATTTTTTTCTAATATTTGTATCATTCCTTGATCCATGCGTAATTTTTTTGGAAAGTGATTTTATTTTCAAATTATATTTATGTATTAAACATCTCTTAGTTTTATAGAATTATTTTAATATCCCGTCTATATTTGGATATATGACTGTGTTTAAATTTTAATTTTGAAACCCTCTTTTTTTTACCATAGTCGTCTTCTTCGACTGTCCAGACTCTTGCTTTTTTTACCATAGTTGTCTTTTTTGACTGGCTGTACACAAAATTTTTTTGACTAGACGTTGAAAGTCTGAAGTGTTGTTGGCTTTGTGCTGAAAGTTCGCAAGAAGATGTTAATATTTTGTCACCATATTTCAAGAAGCAACCTGGTAGATTGAAAAATCGCATAATTCGGTCTAGGTGGAACTCATTAGGCGAATTCGTTGTGTCCGGTGTGGGCGTTTAGGCAGTCACAACAAGAAATTTTGTAGTGAGCCGTTGTAAACTTAGTAATGCTATCATTTAATGACATTGTTCACTGTTTTAAGTTTATTACAGTTTGTTTTTACAATCTTTTTTTGGGTTTGTTTATTTTAGTGACGTTTTCACATTTTAATTTATATTTTTTTTTGTCTAACATTTGATGGATTACTCTGTATATCACACTGGTATTGTAAAGTGAATTTATACACTGTTGGAAGAGTATATCAATGACAGTGTATCCATAACATTGTAACAATATCTTTCTCCAAACATAGTCTCAGAAATTTTTGCATTTGTTTCCAGTCAAATGAGCAAAATGGCATATCTCTGACGACTTTTATCTGCGGTCACACACGGATTGTTATGGTGATTCAAGTATTGAATGACACATACTAGAAAATGTATATACACAAAGCTAGAGTGAGCTTGGCAACCAACTTAGTGCAACCTCCAACCTTTAAAAGCCTATCATGGCTTAGTATGAAAACAACAAAGATGAGGAATTATGCTATTTTGGTCTGCAATGAATTAACATTTGATGGATAGTAAATTTACACACTGTTAGAATAGTGTATCCATAACAGTGTATCGAGAACATTATAACAATAACATACACATAACTATCTCTATATTGAATTTATTAACATATTTGTCAAAACAATTGGTCTCTATCTTTTGTAACAATGTTACATTGTATTTGATACACTAATTTTAATATAGTGTTATATTGTCATTAGTACATTCTGTTTGTTACATTGTTACACTATGAGGAAAACACAATCAACGGTGAATATATGAAACAGTGTAATCACGCACAATTATTCAACAAGGAATAAACATCTTTAACATTTGGATAAATTACATTCACCACATAACAATGTTTTACAAATAGAGTATCTAAATGCATGTCTTATGAATTCATTGTCATTTGTCTGCATATTTTTTCTTCAGCTTTCTACGTATTTTCAGATCTTCTTCACTCTAAGAATTTGAATGATTGAAAAACAATGAAACTATTTCAGCTCGAAACTCGATCAACTGTCTTGCTGTTAAATACCAGCATTCCTGAACAATGTAATATTCTAATATTACAAAAGATTGAGTGTAATTATAACAGTATAACAAAATAAATGTACCAAAAACAGTATAATAATAAAAATGTACCAAAAATTTATAATAACAGACTACACAAATATTGTAATATTACATTATAACAAACCTATATTTGCATAAAACTTCATTCAAGAAAGTACATATACTTTTTGAATGGGGTACCACGTGCACAAGACTACTAAACACAATAAATAACCAATTAATTTGACTTTACATTGATTAACAATATTTCATACCCTCATTGAACCATTTGAAAAAAAAATTATCAAGTATGCAAAATCTAAATTCTAAGAAAAAAAAATCTAGGGTTTAAAAAATAAATAATTTTAGGGCTTTTGCCCAAAAAAAAAAACCAAATTCGTCTTCAATGATCGATTTTATCTATTATGTTACTCAATGGCAACAATGTCTCCAAAAAATAAATTTAACAAGAACTTTCAGCCAAAACAAAACACCCCAAATCCAAATAAAGATTATGTATTTTGATTTTGAACAACCCACAATGTTATTACCAAAAAAAAAAAAAACATGGAATGCAGAAGATCAATGATGACCTTACTTGTGTTTGTGCTTCAGGTTGAGTTCTTGGACAATGAGCAACAATGAGGAGTTCGAAACTTGAGTTTGTGTCGATGAAACCAAAAAAAATCTCTATCAATCGAAGAAACCTTTCATCAAACTTGAGTTTGTGTCGAAAAAACCCTCTGTCAATCGAAGAAAACCCAAAACTCAAATCCCATATCCTCTGTCACAGCCAACACCCTATGCTTGGTTATGGAAGACAAAGGGAAGTTTTTCTCCAGAGAAGATGAAACAGTTTTGTGAGGAAGAAGCTGTATAACGATACCCAAAATTTTGAAATAAATGTACATCAATGTCAACGATTAAGATAAATGTATTTTGACAGATTCTAGGAATGACAACTTTACCCAAAAAAAAGACTTTTACGTATTTATATCTCAATAGTATATTTTTTTTTCAAAATATTTTATTTTGTATATTTTTTTACAATTAAATTTAATTTGATGTACCAATTTCTAAAAGACCCTTAAAAAAATGCTTATACTACGGCCAAACCAAGGGAAGGGAGGGTAGGGGTTTTCCTAAGCTCACCTCCTACTCCCCTCTATATATCTCTACTTCCATTGTACCAAAAATTCGAAAAAAGTTACTGTGGTCCTCGTTCAATTGTTTTCACTGTCCGTGGTTACCCGAAGCTTAATTACTTTTTTGGAACTTTTCAATAAAATAACTTGCAATTGTCATTTTTTAATTGGGTTAATTGAACTGGAGATTTTCAAAGTACAAAATTTGTCTTATTTTAATTCATAATATTTCAATTACATCATTTTAGTCCCTAAAATATTTAATATGTTTCTATACGGTTCTTCAGATAGACAATGTCTAAATTACTAATAATTTTTTATCATAAACTTGTCACATAATACTTAAATATGAATAAAAAATAATTTTGATAGCTCTTAAATAAAATTTGGATAACTCTTGATAAAAAATGTGCAATATGAGTAACTTTTGACCAAAATTTAGATAGTTTACGCTCAAAATTGTGTAATTTAGGTAGTTATTTAACCAAAATTTGAGTAAAAATTTGGACTAGAGTTATGCAAATTATTTTTTTGTCTATATTTAAGTATTCGGTGACAAATTTATGATAAAAAATCGTTACTAATTTGAAAAATGTTTGTTTGAGGGACCATATAGAAACATATTCAATATTTTATAAATTAAAATGATACCATTGAAAAATTAAGGATCAAAATAAGACAAATTTTATACTTTAATCTCCGGTACCATTAACCCTTTCTAATCCTTACACATTAAACGTCGAA